CTTGGGAGGCAGAGGCAGGTGAATTTCTGTGAGACTGAGGCCAGCCTGGCTTACATCAAGTTCCATGCCAGCTGGAGCTACAGGGAAACCCTGTCTCAAAAAAGCAAAGCAAAACAAACAAAAAGTGCCTCCAACACCCATTCCTAGTGATAAAAAAGAACAATGAATTCCCAGTATGAGGTAGGATTCATTTCTAGATTATTTCTTTCCTTATTTTAGGAAGTTATAATTTTTAAAATTGGTCTTTTTATTCAGTAAATGTTTATGGACATAGTACTATGTTCTAGGAAACTAAAATATCATAATCTCCCTACTTAACCTACTTACGTCTAAAGTATTAATATTTAAATACCCCATAGGTAAACTTAGAATCCTACCCTGGTTTTCTCTCCGAGTCTCTCATAGTCAGTGGAGCTCATATTCACTTCCAGATATTCAAGTCAGCAAGTGGGATCATCTTTGATGTCTCTTATTTTTACCTTCCATCTCTAACCCTCCACTTAGGCTTTTCAGGTGACCTTCCTTATCTCTGTACTTTGTATGTGTATTTCTACCACCATCACTTGATATGCACAATCCCATTTGGCTTCCCTAGAACGTGTTAGATTTTTTTTCAGAATTCAACATGCCACAACTTGTGGTGGGCTTGGAGCACAACTTTCCAGAGTCAGTTCTGTCCTGCCATGTGCATCCTAGGCATCAAACTCGGTCGTCCTTTACTGACAGAGCCAGCTTGTCATCCCTTCATTCCTTTATGATGCACAAAATTCTAAAACTGAGCCGGGCGTGGTGGTGCATGCCTTTAATCCCAGCACTCGGGAGGTAGAGGCAGATGGATCTCTGTGAGTTCAAGGCCAGCCTGGTCTACATAGTGAGTTCCAGGACAGCTGGGGCTACAGGGAGACCCTGTCTCAAAAAGACCGAAAAAAAAAAAATTCTAAAATTGACCTCTGGTTTTACATGATATTGCCACAATGTTAAGTGTAGCTCCCTAACTTGTATCCCGAGTGGTCTTGCTTGCTGTGCCCTCTCCTGCCACAAGACTTTAATTTATGTAATTCTGTTAAGTGTTTAAAATAACTTCTTATGAGACTTAATATAAAAATCTAAATGCTTGATTCTGATCTACTTCTGGCAGTTCACCTTCTGGCTTCATCTCCACTCTTGCTTGTTCACACTCTCCAGCCACAGTCTCTTCCTGACCTTTACACCACTGCCAGGCAGGAAGGCTTTTTTCTGTGGCTAATCCCTGTTATTTAAGTCTCAAAATCCTTTTTAGAGGTTCATTCTCTGACTCCACAACTGAATTTTTACCCCCCCATATGTCTCCTAGTCACTCTAGTACATTTCACTATTTTATTGTCTTTATAGTATTTAGCAATAAAGAGAAATTGTCTTCTTTCCTCCTTCCATTCCTCCCTCCTATTGCCTATCTGCCAGGCTCTCCTCCTTCTTTTATGTTTCTGACTTTCCAAGTTGTAGAAAAGGGATTTCATCCTTTTTTTTGTCTTTTTGAGACAGGGTCTCCCTGTAGCCCCAGCTGACCTGAACTCACTATGTAGACCAGGCTGGCCTTGAACTCACAGTGATCCGCCTGCCTCTGCCTCCTGAGTGCTGGGACTAAAGGCGTGAGCCACCATGCCCATGCCTTTTTTTTTTTTTTTAAACTTCATGAGCCTGGAGCTTTCCTGCAGTCTTGGCACAGAAAAGGCACTCATGTGACGATGAATATGCCCATTTACTATGTTACTGGAAGTATAGGGGCATCCCACTTGGGCTGTCACATGTTATGGAACTTGGGATCCTCTCTGAGTTTTTAGATTTGTTCATAAAATAAGAGTGAACTCAGAAGAAAGCTGAAGCACAATTTTATTAGAATTTAAAAGAAAAACCTCAGGACAGGCAAACTATAAATCTTGGCACCAGCTCACAGGAGGAAAATTGAGGAGAGGAAGAAAGACATGATGTTTGTGAGCAGTCACATTGCTGAAGTAGGGAGGAGGAACAATGTAGAAAAATAGTGAGAAATGTCACAGTGTGCATAAAAGAATGCTCAGGCTTTGACTAGTATCCAAAAGAAGGAAAAAGAGAAAAGAAGAAAAAGGAAAAGTTAGTGCTCTTCTGAAACTCGGAAAAGCAGGCTTTAGGAAGCTGCACAGAGGGTGGAGATTCTGGGGTAGAAGTTATTTTATTAAAGGGATAAATATTCCTCTGCAGTCAACTTGACACACCTGGGTAGAGGAAGCCTCAAATGGGGAATTGTCTCCATTGGACTGGCCTGTTGCCATGTCTGTGGGTATTTTTTTGACTGTCAAATGATGTGGGAGGGCCCAGTCAGGGCCCAGCCCACTGTCGGTGGTGTCACCCCTGGGCAGGTGGGCCCGTTTTGTATCAGAAAGTAGGTTGAGCACAGGCCAGAGGAACAAGCCAGTAAGCAGCGTTCCTCCATGGCCTGTGCTTCAGTTCCTGTCGTCAGGTTCTGGTCCTGAGTTCCTACCTTGGGCTCCCCTAGTGATGAACCGTGAGATATAAGCCAAATAAACCCTTTTCTCCTCAAGTTGGTATTAAACTGTTTTTGTCGCAGCAATAGAGAAACTACTTCAGCAATGTGACTGCTCACAAACATCCTAGAACATTCTCTCTTAGCATGGGTTAAGATGAATCCACTTTTCTGAGGGGTGTGGTTCCTCATCCAGGCAAGTGACTATCCTGACTTGAATATTAGGTCTCTACCCTATTTGTGATGCTGGACAGAAATCTTTGACACTAAGCCAAAGTAAACCCTTTCTCCCTCAAGTTGTTTCTGTTTGATTACTATGGTGCTTAGTGTTTGTCAACTTGACACAAACTAGAGTCATCTGGGAAGAGGAAACCTTGAGGAATTTCCTCCATTGGATTGGCCTGTGGCCATGTCTGTGAGGCATTTTCTTAAATGCTGATTGATGTGTGAAGGCCCAACCCACTGTGGGTGGTGCCGTCCTTAGGCAGGTGGGTTTTGGCTATATAAAAATGGTAGCTAAGCAAGCCAGTAAGCAGCTTTTGTCCCTGGTCCTGCTTCAGTTTCTGCCTCCAGGTTTCTGCTTTGACTTCCCCCATTGATGGGCTGTAAGCTGTAAAATGAAATAAGCCTGTCCACAACTTGGTTTCGGTCAATGTTTTATCAAAGCAGTGGAAAGCAAAGTAAAACAGTCACAGTACTGCAAAAGTAGTAAAGAAAGTCGGTACGGGGAAGCAGAGTTGTTGCTGTGACTTTACCTAACCATGCAGTTAAGAAGCTTTTAGAAATGAGTTGCAGGAGGGACGTAGAAAAGTTGGCTGGAGAACCCTTGGGATAATGCAGGCAAAGCTTCTGGTAGAAAACCAGTGAGAATGTGGACAGTAAACACTTTTCAACAAGGACTCTATTGGGAATTGGATTAGAGGCTGTTTGTGTTCCCTTGCCTACATTCTGTTCGTGCCCTAAGACTTTGGGAGACTGAGTTTATTGGTAATAGACTAGTTAATGTGGATTAGGAAATTTCAAGGCAACCCATTATTCAGGTTGTGATGTGGTTGTTTTTATGTTTTATAGTGATAATTGGGAACCAAAAGCAGAGAAGATTTGAAAATTGCAGTTCAGTCAGAAAAAGAGCATGCTCAAAGTTGATGATAAAGCATGGTGTCTGAAGATATTTGTGCCTTTAAAAGAAACCAGAAGGACTTGGGATGTAGCTCAGTTAGATGGCTCATGGAGCATGCACAAAGTTCTGGTTTCCATTTTTAGCACTGCATAAAAACCAGCACGGTGGTACAGGCCTGCAATCCCAGTATGTGGGGACTGGAGGCAGGAGGATCAGAAGTTCAGTGACATCTTTAGTTACATAATGAGCTCAGGGTCAACCTGGGTTACATTAAACTGTCTAAAAAAAAAAAAGAAAAAAAAGAAAGCCAAGTACCTTGCACCAGGACAATATAAAAGATGCCCCGAGGCCATCTCTGAAATCAATCATCACATTCTTTATAGCCACAGCTATATAGAGGTGCAAACTAATTGGACTTTCTCTTGAGAACCTTGAATAGAGAAAGTCTCTACTTCTAAGGCATCCTAAGAATTTGTTCTCTGGGATTCATTTGACTGTGTTCTCACACACTGAGGCTGCTGCATCTGTGCTGAAAGGGGCACAACTACTGCTGGAGCTGGTAGTAGATACTATTATTGTCCACATAATGCTGGATTTTCAGGCATGCGAAAAAAATCATACAAAATTAAAGAGTTACAGAAGGTTCCACACAGATTTCAAAGGAATACATGGGAGACCAGGCAGTGTGTTGACAGGGTTGGAGTCTCTGCAGACAGCTCCCTAGAGGGCAATGTATGAAGCAGTGAGGCTGAAGCCCGGGATGCAGTGGAGACCCCAGGATGTTGGAGATGCCAGAAAGGAGGGATGTCTGCTGTGGAAACCTTCAGGCAATGAGTGGGGCTAGCCTAAGGGAGAGGCCAGGTAGGCTGCAAATGGCAAGTCCGTTGGGGCTGGGCTGCCCGAGCCTGTTGGAGCTTACACTGAAGCACTATGAGCTCTGGGTGCTGGACATGGGGCTATGGGATTTAGTATTTGTCCTGATAGGTTTCAGTCTTGCTTTGGGGCAAATCTTTCATTGTCTTTTCACTTTTGGAATGAGAATGCTTATCCTTCGCTGTTGTACCTTGGGACTATGTAACTTGATATTATTGGGGGTCATAGAGTAGAATTTGTCCTGAGTCTTAGGGAAACTTTGAACTTGGGCTTTTGAACATTGATGGAATTATTAAAGAGTATAGTAATTCTCAGAGGCGGACTAAATGCCTTTTGCATCCCAAGGGGGATATTCTACTTTTTGGATAACATGATTGATTGATTGATTGAGACAGGGTCTGCCTAAACTCCCAGATGCCCTGGAACTTGACCAGACTGGTCTCAATCTCAGAGTCTACTTGCTTCTGCCTCCTGAGTGCTGGGATTAAAGATGTGCACCACCGTGCCTAGCTTGGGTAACAAAATTTAATACAGGATTTTAGTAATTTAATATAGGATTTAGTAATTTAATATAGGATTTTGTGTAATGCACAAAGACAGAAGTGAAATATCTTCTTGAAAGTTTGTTTTTGTAGTGAATTCAGTCATTCAAATAGTTTTTTCTCAAGACCCAAAAATGCCAGGGCATTACCAGCTGTGAGTTTATCCTGAAAGAGAGAGAGAAAGGTTTTATTTTAAAGTTTGACTTGTTAATAAAGTACTTTATAGCATATCTTCATTGATTCTTTACATTTATTTATTTATCATTTTGTGTGTGTGTGTGTGTGTGTGTGTGTGTGTGTGTGTGTGTGTGTGTAGGATAGAGGACAACTTTTGGAAGTCAGTTCTCTCCTTCCACCATTTGGTTCCAGTATTCAAACTCAGGTTGCCAGACTTGGCAGCACATGCTTTTATCTGCTGAGCCATCTCACTGGCCCTTCATCAGTTTTTAAAAAAAAATATTTTTATGTATATGAGTGTTATGTCTGCATTGTAAGGGCACCGGGGTCATGCAGTGCCAGCAAAGGTCAGAAGACAGTGTTGGATCCCCTGGAACTGGAGTTATAGATGGTAGTTAGCTGCCATGTGGGTGCTGGGATTCAAACCCGGTCCTTTGCAAGAGCAGCCAGTGCTCTTAACCACTGAGCCATCTGTCCAACCCCCACTTCATCAATTTTTTAAAAAAAGTTCCTCAGCTGGGCGTGGTGGCGCACGCCTTTAATCCCAGCACTCGGAGGCAGAGACAGGTGGATCTCTGTGAGTTCAAGGCCAGCCTGGTCTACATAGTGAGTTCCAGGACAGCTGGGGCTACAGGGAGACCCTGTCTAAAAAAGATCAAAAAAAAAAAAAAAAAAGTTCCTCAATGTGAGAAAAAAATATTAGTGAATCTCTTAGCAAACCTAATTTCGTCCATGTTCCCTTACCCCCACATGAAACCTAAATCTGAAACTTGATTACAGGACAGGAAGGAACTTTTTGTTTGCTTTTTAAAATTTTTTATTAATTTTATTTTTATTTTATGTGTATGAGTGTATTCCCTGTGTTTATGTAAGTGCACCCATCTCATTCAGTGCCCTTGGAGGTCAGAAGAGGGCATCAGATCCCCTGACTGGAGTTAGGATGGTTGTTAGCTGCCATGTGACTGCTGGGAATTGAACCCGGGTCAACTGAACCCAAGCAGTCAGTGCTCTTAACTGCTGAGCCAACTCTTCAGCCCCTGCTTGTTTGTTCTAGTTAAAATTTTTATTATTTTTATGTGTATGAGTGTTTTGCCTGCATGTAAGTGCACCACATGCATGCAGTGCCTGTGCAGGTCAAAAGAGGGTGTTGGATCCCTTGGAACTGGGGTTAGGGATAGTTGTTAGCCAGTTTGCGAATGCTGAGAACTGAACCAGTCTTCTTAACCATTAAGCCATCCCTCCAGCCCTTCGGTTGTTTTTTGTTTCAGTGGGTCCCCCCTCCCGCCCCAGACGGTCTCATTATGTAGTCCTGATTGGCCTAGAGCAGCCTGCCCTCAGACTCATAGAGATTCTGCTTGCTTCTGCCTCCTGAGTGCTGGGATTAAAGGCATGAGCACCACACTCTGAGGAAGGAATTTATAATAGGGACACCCTCTAGGGAAGTGCCTCTCTTTGGAAATCTTTAATGTGCTCTCCTAGTAGTTCTTTGTGTGTGTGTGTGTGTGTGTGTGTGTGTGTGTCTTCATGCACATATGTGTTTGTGTATATGCAGATTCACTTGTGGGTGCCCGTGAAGACAGAGGACAATCTCAGGTGTTATTCCTCAGATGCTGTCCACTTTGTGTTTTTGAGATATGTTCTCTCCTAGGCCTGGGGCTGGCCAAGCTTGACTTATTATGATGCATATCTTTATGGTTTTCTAGCTTGGATTTATAAATTTAGTTATAGAAGTCTCATTTAAAATTTTTAATTTTTTTTTTCAGTCTAGCTCTTTCAGAAGATAGTCATTGTAGGATGTGAAGTACAGCAGCCCCTCTGTTCTTTGTTGTCATGTGGCTAGGTGTGAGAACAGGAACACTCAGGGAGAACTCTATGAAGTTCAAGGCATGTACCTTTGTTTCTTCATCAAATTCTCCCATGGACTCGATCAATTTCCCAGGTTCCTGTTCACCTAGTGGAAATGGGTAATCAGATCCCAGAATGACTTTATCCTAAAAGGAGGAAAAAACATTTTTAAGATGTGTAGAACTCCAAAGAGCCTCCTATACACTTTATTTACTCATTATATATACTAGACTAGTAGAACAACAAATTTCTTCTTGACTAGAAACAGAATTGGTTTAAAAATTTGAAGATTTAAAGGTTCAGTTTTATTTTGCTATATTTTTCCCCAGCAGGTGTCACTACTAGGTCTTATAAAATTGCAAATCAACTTCTGGCCTTGCTTCTGCTTTTTTCTATTGATACTGTTTTGTTTTGGCTCTACAACCTTTGGTGTCATTCTTCAGGTACTGTCCACTTTATTGTTTGAGCCAGGCTCTCTCATTGAGACTGAATTTTCTGAATAGCCTAAGCTGGCTGACCAGCGAGACCCAGGGCTCTATCTGTCTACACCTCCCTTTCACTTGGATTACAGGTATGCACCACCATACCTGGCTTAAAATTTTTTGATTTATTTATTTTTACTTTATGTGTATGAGTGTTATGCCTGCATGTATGTAAGTGCCTTCATGTCATGCAATGCCCATAGAAGTCAGAGGAGGGCATTGGATCCCCTAGAACTGGAGTTATGGATGATTGTTAGCTGCCATGTAGGTATTGGGATTCGAACCTGGGTCCTCTGCAAGAGCAGCCAGAGCTCTTAACTACTGAGCCATCTCCCTAGCCCCCACACCTGCCTTTTTTTGTGTGTTCTGGGGCCTGGATTCAGGTCCTTGGGCTTATATGGCAAGCACTTTACCAACTGAGCTATCTTCCCAGGCCTTTTTTTGTTTTCCATGGGTTTTGTTCGTTTTCACTATGTAACCATGGCTAGCCTCAAGCTTACTATGTAGACGAAGCTGGCTTCAAAATCACAGAGTTCTGCCTGGCTCAGCCTCCTGAGAGTTGGTATTAAAGGCATGTACCACCACCCTCAGTCCATTTTCTTTTCTTAATAACAAATGCAGAATACTGAACTATAAGAAATAGGCATGTATTTGGTAAAAATATACCAATACATTCAGAGAAAATTAAGGGTTCTGCCTTCCTTATAGTGACACACCAAAATTGATCCTGCAATGTTTGAAAACAGAGCTGGAAAGAAAAGTTTTGGCTTGAGTGGTAGGGTAACCCCTCATCCCTTTGTAAATAACTCATTTGTAAATTTCCTTCAAGTTTTCCCCAAACAGGTATGGCATTTTTTTTAAGATTTATGTATTTTTATTTGATATGTGTGAATGTCTGCTACATGTATGTATGTACACCATGTGTGTGCTTGGTGACTACAGAGGACAGATTAGAGTATCGGATCTCCTGGAACTGGAGTTACAGGTGGTTGTGAGATGCCATGTGGGTGTTGGGAACCAAAACTGTATCCCTTACAAGAGCAGCCAGTGTTCTTAACCCCTGAGCCATCTCTGTAGCCAGGAATGTGACATCTTATTTTCGGCTAGAGCTCTAAATGAGTCATGGTTTATTCTAGTTACATTGGACTTTTTATAGTTTGCTGACTTTAATGGATTGATTCCTCTGGTTTGAATGCTCTATTGAGCATGAACTCAAAATTTTTTTTTTAGAATTATTTTTATTTTTATTTATGTGTGTGTGTCTGTGTGAGTATATGTGGTGTGTGTAGGGGTACTGGCAAAGACCAGAAGAAGGCATTGAATCCCATAGAGCTGGAGTTGCAGGTAGTTGTGAGCTGCTTGATGTGGGTGCTAGAAACCACATTCAGGTCCTCTAGAAGAGCAGCAAGTGCTCTTAACCATTGAGCCATCTCTCTAGCCCTGTTAAACTCCAATTTTTATGAATTCATAAATGTGGTATATAATTTTTAATTTTACAGAATTTCAAAGCAATAGAAATGTTGCAAGAAATTCAAGGATCTGCTATATAATCTTCATTCAAATTAAATAATGGTTTACATTTTGCCATCTTGCTTATATACACACATCTCTGTGTGTGTGTGTGTGTGTATATATATATATATATATATATATATCTAAAATCATAGTCAGAGACATCATGAGCTTTTACTCTAAATAAATTAGTGTTTATTTCCTAAAAACACATTTCTTTTTCTTCTTTTAAAATTACATTTACTTATTGTATATGTGGAGGGGGGAGTGGTATATGGATGGCAGAGGACAAATTGTGGGAGTCTGTTATCACCTTCCACTGTGTGGGTTCCAGTGATCAAATTCAGGTACTTGGCAGCAAGTACCTTTACCTGCTTACTCGTCTTGATGGTCTTGTTTTTTTTTTGAGACAGGGTCTCATCAGGTAACCCTGCTGTGTAGACCAGGGCTGGCCTTGAACTCACAGAGATCTTCCTGCCTTTGCCTTTGGAATGCTTGGATTATAGGTATGTGCCACCAGGCCTGGAATTTTAATATTGGTACAGTGGTTTTTATTTTATCTTTTTGGGACAGAATCTCTCTGTAGCCCCAGCTGGCCTGGAACTTGCTATGCAGACCAGACTGACTTCTATCTCACAGAGATTCTCCTGCCTCTGCCTCCTGAGTGCTGGGATTAAAGTAATGTACCACCACACCCCTGCTCAAACTTTTTAACTGTAACTTTGTACTTGTTGACCAGCCTCTTCTGCTCACCTCTGCCGGCCTTTGCTAGCTGTGGTTCTGTCCTCTACTTCTACAAAGCTGACTTTTGCAGATTCTGCAAGGATCGTGTTTGATCATACAGCATTTCTCTTTCAGAGCCTGCTTCATTAACATAATGTTCTAAAGGTCTGCCCATTTATTTATTGTGTGTATGTGTGTGTGTGGTTTGCATATATATGGGCAGGTGGGGGGATGTGTATGCCTGTGCACACATGTGGAAGCCAGAGGATGCCTGGTGTCCTGCTCTACTTTATTCCTTTGAGATGGAATGTCACTAAGCCTAGAGCTAGGCTGGTGGACAGCAAGCCCTGGGGATCTTCATGTCTTTGTTCCATACAGTGCTGGGGTAAAGCCATGACCAGCTTTTTTACATGGGTTATTGGGATTTGAACTCAGGCCCTCATGTTGCATAGTAAGTGTACTTACCCACTGAGCCATATCCCCTGCTATCCATGTTATATACTCCAAATGAAAGATACCTTAACACAAAAAAGGCTTCATTGCATTGAAAATAGAAAGTTTTTTTTTTCTTTAAGATCTGAAACAAAACAGAGATGTGCACTTCCACCACTTATAATCAACATAGTACCAGAAGTTCTATCCATGGCAGTTAGGCAAGAGAAAAAATAAAGGGAAATTCATTTTGGAAAAGAGGAAGTAGAATGCTCCCTGTTTGAAGATGATAGAATTACATGTATAGTAAGCTCTACAGATTGCATCTATAGCTCTTCAGGATTAAAGAATTCAGTGAAGTTTCAGGATACAAAAGCAGTGTGAAGGACTCAGCACCATTTCTACATGAAAAAGAAATCAGGAAAGGAATCCCACTTACAATAGTTAGAAAAAAATACTAAAATACCTAGGAATAAATTAATCAAGGAGGTAAAGGAGCTCTACAGTGAAAACTATATTGATGAAAGAAATCAAAGACACAAATAAATGGAAAGATATCCTGAGTTAATAGATAGAAGAGATAGAAGAATTAATATTGTTAAAATGGCCACACTACCCAAAGCAATCAATGGATTCAACATAACCTCTATCAGAATGCCAATGACATTTTTTATGGATATAGAAAAGCAAATCATAATTTGTATGGTGTCATAAGAGATCTTGAATAGTCATAGTAGTCTTGAACCAAAATAAAGCAGGAGTGATCACACTGTCTGATTTTTAAAATCCTACTACAAAGCTACAGTCACCAAAATTGCATGATACTGGCCTTGTAAGTATACAGGCAAATAGAAGACTCCAAAGTCTAGAAGTAAACTCATACATCGACAGTCATTGATTTTTGAACAAAGGTAGCCAATGTGCCCATACTGGAGGATAGTCTCTTGAGTACTAATTTGAGAAGTTGGTTGAGACTCAGAAAATTCAAAAGGGAGACTTAAGACTCCATAAATAAACAACTCACAAGTCTTAGAAAGTCCCTGAAATTTAGCAGATTCACAGGGTTCTTTCCTCCCTAAGATTATATAAACCACAAGGACTGCTGTATATGGATGGAACAGGAAATCATTATGTTAACTGAAACAAGCCAATGACAGAATAGTAAGTACCATACAGTTTCACTAATAGGTTGTATATAAAATAGTTGAGCTCACAGAAGTTCACAGTAGAATGTTGGTTACCAGAGACAATAAGATTAGGAGAGAGAAAAAGAAGTCAATTAATGGGATAAGAGTAAGAAGCTCTGATGTATACCAAGTGGATTGGTGCATGCCTGTGATACCTGCCTTGAGAGGCTGAGGCAGGAGGATCATGAGTTCAAGGTCAGCCTGGATTATATAGTGAGTTCTAGCCAGCCTGGACTACAGCATGATGTCCTGGCTCTGAAAAACCAACCAAACAAACAAAAGCCCCAGAAGATCTGGTGTGCTATTACATAGTGGGATGACTATACAGAATACTAATGTACTGCATATTTCAAAAAGATGGAAGAAATGATTTAAGTGTTTTAATTTTATGTTTATGAGTGTTTTGCCTACATATATGTAAGTGCACCTGTGTCGTGCAGTTCCCGAGGAGGCCAGAAGAGGGCTTTGGATCCCCTGGAACTGGACTTACAGATGGTTGTTGGCCATAATGTGCATGCTGGGAACAAAACCTAGGTTCTCTGCAATAGCAGTGAGTGCTCTTAACTGCTGAGCCATCTCTTCAGTCCCAGTGAAATGATTTTAATGTTTCACCATCAAGAACAGATGTTTGACTTGAATACTCTACCATTTACACATACATCAAAGCAATACACGTTACCTTATAAGGCTACAGTTATTATATTGTTAGGTTTCTGTTCAAAATAAGTTTAAACTTAAAAAATACTTTGATTGTCACCACCATAGTAGTGTTTGCATCTACTTTACAATATTAAGTAGGTACTCTGATTG